CACAGCTGAGGTGAGTGTCCTGAGTACCTGATCAGGAGGAGCAAGTAAGTGGAGCCCACAGCTCCATCTGCTCTTCACAAACAAGGACAAAGTGCTTGTGGAAAGCAGCAGCAGCCTTGCTGTGGTAACTGTGTACTAATGGAGTTCATGATTCAGAGGGGAGAGAGGAAAGCAAGTAGAGTACAAATCAGGCCCCCTAGGAGAGCATGAGTTTGACTGTTTTAGGAGACTAGTAGGTGGGATTGCTTGGGAGTCATAGAGAAATCCAGAGAAGCTTAGAGTCTTGAAGGACAGAATCTTACAAGCACAAGAATATTCCAGTTTGGTCTTCAGGAAGAAAAACACATCTACCAGGACTGGCTTGATGAATTTGGGACTTCACATAGATCTCTGAAGCAGAAAAGAAATCGATGTACAGGAGCTTGAGGCAAAAACAAGTGCCGAGCGCCACTTGGCTGGGGGAGCCGCCTCGCCCCCCGAGCTGCCTCCTTTTCTATCACCTGGGGCTTCCTCGGGAGCACTTTGCTGCAGGCCCCGAAATTGGAAAAAAGGGGCTGTTTTACCTTGGGTAGCCTTTGGTGGCCTGTGCACAGCCCCCCGTGTTCCTGCTGGTGGCTCATCTGAGCACAGCCGGGTCTGTCTCTTGCTCACCTTTAGTCGGGCACACCTGGTTCGTGCCAGCTCTTCTGGAATCCCGGGTGCAGTGTAGGAAGCGTTCGGTCACTTTCTGCGCTCAGTCAGTTGGGGGTTGTTGTACAGAACAGGTGGCGCAGGCCCTGTACGAAAACACAGAGAAGTTGGATTCTTCCCATGACTGAGGTTTGTGGGCAATACCTAAAAGTGGGAGACACTCCAGAAAGTACTGTAATTCCGTACATGACTGATGAAGCACATAATGCCAATATGATTTGATTGATAGTGAATTGTCACAGACAGTGAATAATGCTTTTAGATCTGGTCTTAAAGATCTGCTTTTATCTAGACTGTTGCACTAATCACCTCATGCCCCAAGTGTAGTAAATATAAACATTTCTAAATTTTTTGCAGCCTATCTTGATTTGCTTTTGCAGATTAGTGAAACGGGAGCCAAACCTAAAAGAGTTAACTGAGATATCTTGGCCTGCTAAGTAACTCCAGTACCTGTTTTGCTAGAAGAACATTTTAGGAGCGCTGGTTAATATCATGTTCTGTTCTGCTCCCTGGACCAAAGGCCTTATTATAGAAAGGAGTTGTATGCACACGGTAATAAATTAGGTAAACTAGACATTTGAATAAGATATAGAAGGCCCAAAGCCAGGATTTTGCAAGCTTGAAGAATTCAGGCCACCTAATTGAAGAGGTCAAATTGAGGAAAACGTCCATGGCAAGCACCAGCGGGATGAAGGCTTGAGGAGAAGACCCCTACAGTAGAAGACTGCGCACATCAGGAAAGACTCCACCCAGAGACTAGCCTACTTATTAATATGATGTAACCACGTACCCGAAGTGTATAAAATGGCTTAGTTTTGCACTTTCAAGTCAAACAAGTTTGTCCAGCGCAAGCCAGCTTGTTCCCAACATCGAATAGACAAAAACCTTGCTGCTTAAAGATACAGAAGTCTCTGAGAAGTTCTTCATACTGAGGTTTTTCAGCATCATTAGGTCTTCACCTAAACTCTTCAGTTGTAGCACTCCCTTCCTAGAAAGAAGTCATACAGACTCTTAACATGGTGCAGTTTTTTAGATTCAGATTTTGCTGCAGCAGGGGCTAAGTGATAAACAAGAATTTATTTCCTAAATGTGGTTTAAATACCACATATTTAATAAGGGGCATGCATGGATTGAAGAGAAAACCTTCTATTTTCTGTTCAGTTGGATTTCTGTGTAGAAAGTAAAGCTAGTTAAAAGTTGATGTGGCACATACAGTATCAGCTTAAGTATGCCAGCCTGGAGTGTATCACATTGTTATGTACCCTGCTGAGAATCCAGCTCTGGGCTTCCTGCTGTGAGGCAAAGATTTCTGTAGGTCACCAACAGTTAGTCCAATGCAGGACTGGGATTATCACTGCTGTTGTTACAGTCAATGCATCTTCCCTTGTTCTTTAGCACAGAGCTCTTAAGCATAGCTGCTGCAAGATTTTGCACAGGTACAGAAGCATATGAATACCTATGGTAATGTGGTAAGATTGGTGCAGAGGGACAAGTGGGACTGTCCTGGTGTTGTCAGAGCACGTCTGTCTGCAGCAGCAGCACAGGCTTCAGTGCCACAGAACAAAAGGAACTATAGATTTGGGCAGTGAATTTCTGTGAGGANCTTTAATATGCCCTATATATATCACTTGCTATGTGATTTTTAGAACATACGTTGTTATTACTTGCAGAATGGTCAATTTTTATTTTTTTTTTAAGAATACTTAAGTTACCGTCCTTGTAACACATTTTTTCTCTTAAAACTGGGTTGGTTTTATCAAGCACTTCTTTTATCATAGCAGGCATTGACAGTGCATGGAAGTAAGAGACAAGAGTGAGCCAGGATCACATTTATCTGTTTGTGATCTCAAGCCCACCATGAATCCAGATATTCAAAGGCATAAATCAATGATCTGTTTAACCTGTTCCACTGATTTTTTCTTAACTTTAAACTACAAATTCAATGTGTTTTATGTTGTACTTTATTGTGCTTGAAGTACTGAGTTCAGAGCATAGATTTGACCTCTTGATTTCAGTGAAGGCCAGAGGCTGTGGACCTCCCCCTGAAATTACCAATGGAAATATTGCTGGTGGCTCTGAGGAACAGTATCAACATGGGGACAGAAAGCAGTATGAGTGTAACATGGAATTTAAATTGGTTGGATCAAAGGAAATAGAATGTGTTGATGGACAGTGGTCACCTCCTCCTTCTTGCATTGGTAATCTACTTAACACTACGTATGAGAAGTCTGTAATTCACTGTAAGCTAATATGTCACAGATATTTTCACAATTACCATTACATATTTGCAGATATGATATGCTATGTTCAAAATCATTTTGTGAATGAAGAGTCAGGAAAAACCATTACCTTTTCCTGTCACTACCACTGCATGGTAGTGACAGGAACAATGACAGCCCAAAGCAGGAAGTGCTGTTCTCATACAGAGGTGACAGCACTGCAGTCCTCTAAGGGACACTACAATGGATTTCAGTTCTTGTACTAATTCTGACTGAAAGTGTACATTACAAATGTGTAGCTGCATAATCAATTATAATTTTGACTGATGAGAATCAAGGATTCAGGTGACTTGGATTAATTGAAGGTTTCCTTATACTTTAGGGTTTATATATCAACAGTTTGGCAAAGTAATGTTAGCTGAAATTACTTGTGGGTCATGCTACAGTGTTGGAAAAGGAGGGGAAAAGACAGAGAGGGATTTAGTAAACTGACTAAAAGATATACACATACTCCAGTTGTGTTCAAGTTTAGTTGTTACAATTAATGGGAGTAGGCTTGGCTCACCAAATGCAAATACAGTTATTTTTAAGTTCTTTCAGCTATTCATATGTAACTCCACTATTATTGTGGAATACTTCTGCTCTTTTCAACAGAAGACAAAATGCCCTGTGAATCACCTTCCTCTATTCCGAACATTGCTCTATATCAGGCAGACCAGACCCAGTTTTCACATGGTGATCAAGTAACCTGTGGATGTAAACCAGGCTCTGGCAATTCTAAGCAAATGAAAATAAAATGTCTTAATGGAGAATGGAAGCCTTTACCTCTTTGTGCTGGTAATCTCTTTCCATGCTATTTTCATAATATTTCAGATGTGAGTGTGAGATAGTTCTGTTCAAAATGTCAAGGATTTCAGCAATCAGTATGTAGCTGGACATATTACAGTTTCATGCATCAAAACTAAGTGGGTTTTATTTACTCCTCTTTTAAATGGCAGCATGTTCTTCATCCTGGAAAGACTGCACCTACAGCTTTGTAAGCACTATGGCCAGATCAAAGTCATTAAAATCAAGTAATAAAAGGAACTAATGTTAATAGCCACAGTGTGTTAGGCTTATCCCATCCTCACCATTTTTATGTGCATTAGTCCTTTTCACAGAATCCCAGAATGGGTCAGGCTGGAGGGGACCACAGTGGGCCATCTGGTCCAACATCTCTGCTCAAGCACCCGCAAAGTAAAGTTTTTCCTCATATTTATGTGGAAGTTCCCGTGCATCAGTTTCTGCCCATTGCCTCTTGTCCTCTTGTTTGGCACCACTGAGGAGAGCCTGGCTCCCTCCTCCTGATATCCTTCAGATATTGGTAGATCCTGGTAGACATTGCTGAGGTCCCCTTCTCTTTTTGCTCATTTCACAGCCTTTCTATAGTTTTAGGGAATAAAATGTTGGTGAGGTTTTTTATTATTATTATTTGCTGCGCTCAGCAAAAGGGATCCTGTCAACATAAAAAAATTGCTTGGGGACTGAGAACAGTCTCTGCTTTAGGTGGCTGGGAAAAAAGTGTTTGTTTCTGTAATCTAGGAGTCTTAGGCATCACTTCATATTACAGTAAATAAAAACCCACTTTCACATGGACATGCATTAAGAAATTGATGATATCTTCATCAGTACATATTATCTGAACTGAATCTATTTTTTGTTTAGCTCTTTTTGTTTATTTTTTTTCAGATCCATCTCCTCAGTGTGAACTTCCAGTGGGTGTTGAGTTTGTAAGCTCTGGTGGATATTCCATGTCAAAAAGGAGGACTGGGTTTTATAAAGTTATACGTTACAGATGTACATCAACTGACAAAAATATTAAACAGGCAACTTGTGTGTCTGGAAATTGGACACCAGAGATTGAATGTCCAGGTATGTTTTTAGATTTGCATACCATTTCTTCTTTTTATGTAGGAATGATAAATGATTGTTATTAAAGCTTCTTAGTGTTGCTGTATAGTCTGAAATAGAAATGCTTACATGCTTATGTATATGTTAAAGGGTAGTTACAACCATCATTTGAGCAGTTAACCAGGTTTAGAGAAGCACTACTTCAGTGAGGCAGACAATAATCTCTAGTCTGACAATTAGAACAGTTGTCACTGTCACTTCTGATAAATTTAAGCTCAGTTCTTCAAAAGGACTTTACCCTGATGAAAATGAGAGAGCACATAGCTCAAGCTCCAGTCAAAGTTCCTTTATTTCCTGTAAACATTCAAAGCTTTTCAATTCCTGATTTTTCTTTTCTTCCATTTTTTCCAATTGCTTCCTAGTGAAATAATGAGAAAAATGCTGAGTTGGCCGATTCAAAAGCACAGACCTAGAGGAGACTGCCCTCATATAACACACACCAAAGGCTGAATGCCTGCAGGACTGCCTTTATGTATGGCAGAGCAGGATATTACTCATAGAAAGCAGGACTGTAAAACAATCATTGCCTCATGTCCTGCTTTGACTATACCAGATTTATGGGAAAAGATGCGTGGAAATGGGAGAAGCACACAGCACACAATCCTCTGGGGAACATTCCCTTTCAAGACCAACTGTCTCTACCTTCTCAGTTTTCTGGAACAACAAGAGAAGCAACAAACCAAGCTCTGCAACTCTCCTCAGATCTCCCTCCTAGATCTACCTACTTCCCTCCTCTTTTCTTTCCTGTGGCAGGAAGAGCCTTTCATTCCTTGAGTGGCAAATTTGAAGCCTATTTCTTTGCTTCTGTTTGTGATTCTCATTTAGCTCTATCAACTAAGTCTGAAGAAAAACAAAACAAGAATTCCGGAAGTTGGTTCAATATTCCTAAAACAGTTCACCATAGAGAGAGGAACAGGGCAAACACATCAGAGTGTGCAGATGTGTGAAGGGGCAAGAAGCTCCAGCTTAGCTTGGTGTGGGCAACTGTGACAGTCTTTTCTATGACTCTGAAAGCATATGAGCATCTGAAGGCAGCTCTGGTGTTTCTGAAGCAGAACAAAATGGTCGTTTTATTAATTAAAGCTTGAGATAGCTACTGGAGAGTTATCCAACATCAATGTTTTCTTGGTTCTTTGTGTTTTAATCTGTGATGAACTACTATACTTTATCTTATGTTCTATTATAACATGAATATATGTCCTTAGCTGAGGAGGGTGTGTGCCCACCTCCACCTCAGGTGTCTGGTGCTCAACAGACAACAGCTGGAAGAAATTACAGGCATGGGAGTAAAATAGCTTTTTCATGCGCCAATGGTTTCCGGCTCATCGGTGCAAAAGAAATAACCTGCATAGAAGGGAAATGGCAATCACCACCTCAGTGTGTGGGTCAGTACTGGGATAATTTTTTCTATTTATTTTATTATGACTAACCATGTTATGCATTTGCAGTCATCGTTAGCAGGAGGATGCTGTTATTTACATAAGATGATCGTGAACAGGTAACTGCAGTAAAGCAATAGAACATAAGTTGCTAAAGAAAGTGTAGTAAAGCAACTGCAGTCTTTTTATTTACACAGACTGATCTAAGATGGCATAGAATACTTTCAGGTAGTCTCTCAAGAGCTGTGTGCTTATTTGTTTGTGTACTATATTGCATAATGGAGTCTCAGTTTTGACTGGAGGCCTTAAATAGTATCCCATAGTCTGTAAATCAGCATTATTTATTACTTAGTTGCAGTTGCAATATTAATTTTCTTGCATTATTGTTTATCTTTGTTTTCTGCATTTTTTAGAAAGACCATGTTTGCCACCACAGCCTGTAGAATGTGCTGATGCTCCCAGGCTGGAAAATCCAAACTTAAAAATTGAAATAGAAGGGAAATCAATTTATCTGACCGGTGCTAAATTTAAGTATATTTCTCGTTCTGGATACATGTTAAATGGAACAACTGAGATAACTTGTTCTATGGGAGAATGGACTTCAGCTCCTGCATGCTTGGGTAATATAAAAAAATACCTTTCTTTTTTTTTAAGTGTATTTACCAATAAAATGGAAAGACTTTTAAACTGAAGCTTTATTTTACTGTGGAATGTCTTCAGAGCAATCCTGATTGGGTGCAAAACTGACTTTCTGGATGTAGCTTAGTTTTTAAATATTCCTTTGTATTCTTAAAATCTTTGTTCAGTTCATATCTCTGCCAGGTGAGTCCTAGGCATATCCTTATAATCCAAGGACCTGTTTTCTTGAGAGTCCAGTAGTGACTAAGAGTTGCTTTGGAGTCTCAGTGGTGGAAATCACTTCAGTATAGTAAGGGACAGAAGCCTGTAGTCAAATTTTCTGGCATGTTTAGAAACAGGATCGAAATATTTTGGTGACTGAAATCTGTACCAGTTTAGGGGAATAACTTATTTAGTCTTCACTATGCTATCTTTTATGTAATTATTAGTTAACTATAATTATATAATCCACTATCAGCAGATGACTATGCTGATGTTAGAAATAGCTCACTAAAGCATCTGTTTGGTGGAAAAAGTACACTCCTTTGATGTGTATCCCATTAGCACCAGCATCAGATTTCTGTTATCTTTTCAGAAATGTCATGTGGAAGTATTCCAAAAGTTGCCAATGCTCAGTTTGAAGGCAGAACCAAGGAAACTTATGAGCCTGGTGAAACAATTCGCTACAAGTGTGATGCAGGGTTCCTGATTGTTGGTTCCCCTGAAATTCATTGCAAAGAAGGAAATTGGACAGCACCGCCCTTTTGTGAAGGTATAGGTTCTACTTCTAAGTAGTCCTTCTCAATATTGCATGTGAATTAATAGAATTTCAACTCAGGCATGCGGGTGAGTCAGGCCAATAGAGCCAACAGGTGACTTGCTTTGAATGGGCTGCTAAAACACCTATTTTTCTGACTCTTGAGAAACAAAAAGCAGCATAGATCAGCAAAGCAATAGTTTCCTTGTGGGCTGAAGCTAGTAGCTGAAACTTAGCTGTCTGCTGAAATCAAGCAGGCAGGTGGTTATGGAGGAGTGCATCTTGGCTGCAAAGGAGAAAATTAGTAGGGTAATGTATCTTATTTTCACATCACTAAAAATGTCAGCTGCTGACAGTTACCTTCAAATAGTAAATAAATCTCCTCACTCTCCAGCCCATTGGTACACAATGCCTTACAGCACCAATCTGCACAATTGGCTGATCTCTGTGACTTCTTTTCTCTTTTTAGTCACTTTAGGCAAAAATAATATTGCATGGTGAAGAATTGCAGAATAAAGACCAAATTATCTTCTTTTTCTACCTGTAGAAAATGATCTGCATTACACAAACCATTTTTGTTCATCAGGAGCTCTGGAATGCAATGTTCTATGGTTCTTATATTGCTGTACTGCAGTCTTTACATGCACCTCTCTTTTCAGATGTTAGCTGTGGACCTGTACCTGAAATCCCCAATGGTCATGTTGCAGGCACTCAACAGGAGAGGTATCTGCCCAGTGCCAGAGTGCATTATCAATGTGAAAGCAATTTTCAAATGATAGGTGGAAATTTCGTCACTTGTTTAAATGGTGAATGGTCACAAGCACCAGTGTGCAGAGGTAGGAACCTGTGCTTTCACCTTGCCTGTTAGCATAGAGGGGACTGTTTCTCTACCTAAACACCCTGAAGACTTCACCTTTTCTACTTCTGTTTTCTTTGGGTACCTCAACTTTGTAGTTTCTGTTGCTTGCTTGCACAGCACTTTAATTTAGCTCGATGCTTCTAGAAATACTGGGAATATTTCCATCAACAGCAAAAACGTCTTGAAGCAGCAGGGCCAAAAATGTGCTTTACTGTCATTCTCCTGCATGTTATTGGTATTGCTCCAGTGTCCACCATTTCAACAACCTTCAGTGGAAAGACATGTAAGGGCTCCTGTCTTCTGTTCAAAGCTGTCAGGAAGTATCTGAATGGAAGCAGCAGTAGGGGAGAGAAGAAACTCCAGGGCTCCCCTCTGACCAATGCAGATCCCAGCAGAGACCCAGATCTAAACCATGTGAGGTCTGCCATGGCCATAGAACTGGAAAGATTGTTCCTGTGACAAGGAATGGCGATGAGCTGTGCTCCTGTGCCCTGCCGAAATCTGTGGCTGCAGGGTGAACAAGTGCTACTTGGCTTTCACACAGCTCCTTGGAGCTGGCTGCATTCCCCCATCCCTGAGCAGCACAGGCTGACAAGCTCCTCCAGCACTGCCAGTCCTCCAGAGCTCTGCACTTCAGCACAGTGTCAGTTTGGCTGTTACCTCTGCGGTTTCCAGGAATGCCAGGGCTCCCTAGGGAGGGACATGGGCGTGTGGGAAGGCTCCTGCGTCTTCTGTGACATTAAGTGTAGCTACGGAAACATGGGCTTTTTCTAGAAACTCTTATTGACCCTGCCCATCTCCTGAGAGTCCCAGATCATTTTCTGCTGCCACTGTCACACCTCATTGCTTTCTCCATGGTGTGACCCACCTGAGACAGAAAATCTGTACAGAAATTGTAACCAGATTGATTCCTTTAATTTTTGGTTGTATTGATGAACATCTCAACAACTGCAAAGGTGACTGTAGTCGTGTCTCTTTTCAGATGTGACATGTGAACCTCCTCCAGAAATTGCTGGTGGTAGAATTAATATTAAAAAGACAAAGTATCTCCCTGGGGAGACTGCTGACTATGAGTGCTGGCAAGGTTTTAAGATGACTGGGACTTCCACTGTAGTGTGCCAGAATGGGACCTGGACAGAGCTGCCAAAGTGCAAAGGTAATTTCTCTCTCTCTCTCTCTCTCTCTCTCTCTCTCTCTCTCTCTGTCTCTCTCTCTCTCTCTTCATACAGTCGCCTGTCAGAGATTCTGTAATGAGGCTGACTCAGTGGGATTTACTTTTCCAAATTTCAGTACCCTTATCATGCACAATTGCAATGTATATGGCACACTCAGGAAAAAGTAATTTTCCCAGGAATCTGTTCAGATGAGTTTACCAGCAAAGTGACCCAGGTGGCTTCACTCAAGAAGGCCAAATGCCACACTGTTCTGCAGGACAAGATGAAGTCCTGCAGACAGCTGCAAGCACTTCAGCTGTGGTCAAATGGGGTGAACTAGTAGTTGTGAGCCCGAGGGCTGGAGAAATGGGAAACTCTTGCTCTGTTTCACCTGCCAGGTATTTGATTTTCTCTCTATTTTCCTCTGGTTCTCTTAGAGTAATGCCAACATTCTGTGGGGTAGCTGGTCACATTTGTGACCAGACCTCCATGGCAGTTAAACTCTTGTGGTTTTTGTCTCTGATTGGGCAATTTCTTTCAGGAAAAGGTGGGAAATGTGGCCCACCTCCAGCTATTGAAAACGGAGAGCTTCTTTCCTTCCCCAGGCCAGAATATCAACAAGGTACAACTCTGGAATACAAATGCCCAAGCTTCTATGTCTTGAAAGGATCGCAGTATATCACTTGTACTGATGGGCAGTGGTCAAGCCCCCCTGTTTGCCTAGGTACGTGGAAGCATGTGCTGGGTGGCCAAAGGCTGTGTGACTGCTCCTCTCTTCTTTTTCTCAGACTCTGAGGGTAGAACTTGTGCAGCAGCATTTGTGCTGGGGCTGTGATGCTGGCAGGGCAGAACAGCAGCAAGTCCTTCTTTTATCCCCAAAGAGTTTCTCTGAAAGTTAGCTCGTGTAGTCCTCTCTGCTGCCAGGAGCTCTGCAAGGAGAGGACTTTGGCTGAACCCCCCTCTGTGAGGGGATCTCCACCTCTGTGCAAAGCTCCTGAGGGCTCCCAAGCTGGGGATGCTGCTACAGGCAGCAGGCTGTGAACAAGGAGGAGTGATCTGAGTGTGTGGCAGTTCTGGGGACATCCAGGCTTGCATCTGTGACATGGTAATGAGAAAATAAATTTAGGGAAGTACAGAGCAGAAGGGAAGGATCTCAAAAAACATGTGGTCAAGTTCATTGGTGCCTGGTGCCTTCCTCACCTGTGCTTCATTCTTGCCCTGTGTGATTGTCAGAATGGAATGGCTTCTCCACAGCTCTGTGTGGCATCTCAGCCATGGTCTTTTTTCCTTTTAGGCTGACTGTGAATGTCTTTTCTGTGGCAAGTAACAGAGGATGAGAGCAAATAGCTGGAAGGATTTTTTGATGCAAACAACTTCTGTAGGCTCTAGGGGCAAAACAGTTACCTGTGGTGTGTCTGTATGAAATGCTGACACTCTTCTCTTCAATTTTTCAAGTGGCCTGTACAGCATCAGAAGAAGATATGGACAGAAACAATATTGAGCCTAAATGGTCCAGAGAAACCAAGCTGTATTCCACATCGGGTGACTATATTGAATTTCGTTGTAAAGCAGGATATGTGAAAGAGCAAGAGCCTTCCCACTTCAGAGTCCAGTGTGTGGAGGGGGTGTTGGATTACCCACGATGCAGGCTGGGCAGTAAGTCATCTCCTCTTCAGCCACAGATTAGCTGCTGTGGTGTTGCATTTTTAGTGCTGAAAGGGAAGCAAAAAGCCTTTCCCTTTCCTGGGGAAGTGCGTGGGGAGGAGCCAGAGTGCAGAACCCTGTTGTAAGCTACAGGCAGGGAGGGGCAGCAAGAAGCCATTGGCCAGCATTCCTGAGCTGGAAGGACTGCTGGGGAAAGGGCACGGTGGTTTCACAGCATCAGTTGTCCCGTGTGAGATCTACAGGCAAATAATGAAAGTCCTTTTTTGCAGGGAGCTGTACAGTGAATACAAACCATACAGAAAGCAACAATATTCAACTACAGTCACACCAATCAAGAATTTCCACCTATCGCTCTGGGGATTTTATTTTCTTTGAATGCAAATGGTGGCACAAACCAGTTTCAAGAGCTGAGAAATTTAGAGCACAGTGCCTGGATGGAGTGATTACATATCCTACATGTCAATGTAAGTGCACAGTGCTGAGGACACAGGGTGGGAGTTGTAGGAGGCAGTTTTGATGGAATTGCCTGACCAGTGCTCTGAGGAGCCTCTGTCGTGCCTGAGAATTGGTATTCATGACTTTCCCCCTTTTTTGTGTTTACACTGCAGCGAGGTTTGGATAAATGGAAATGGCATGAAGGAGGCCAGCTGTGGAAATGCAAGAGCCCTCAGCCAACCCAGTGATTTCAGCTCAGTTTTTCCTGGTGTTTCCCATTTTGCTGTGCTCTGTTTGCAGCTTAGCCAATGTTCTGCCTTGGAATTTGTTATATTATTTTTATGATTGGATGATTGTGTTTGCATATTATCCACATTTTATCCATTTTTGTAAATGTATTTACATTTTGTCCATCCAAATGGCTGTGCTTGCATTTTATCCATTCTATACTGATCTCACTGTTATTTTTATTAACAATTGTGTCCTGAAATAGGCTGGCTTTGGTGGCATACTGAGACAAGAATTAAAGCTCATGAGTAATTTGATTCTCAGCACTTGTCTATTCCTCCTTTCTTCTCCATGTGCTTGCCTGGAAACTACCCTGGGGCCACAGCTGAGGTGAGTGTCCTGAGTACCTGATCAGGAGGAGCAAGTAAGTGGAGCCCACAGCTCCATCTGCTCTTCACAAACAAGGACAAAGTGCTTGTGGAAAGCAGCAGCAGCCTTGCTGTGGTAACTGTGTACTAATGGAGTTCATGATTCAGAGGGGAGAGAGGAAAGCAAGTAGAGTACAAATCAGGCCCCCTAGGAGAGCATGAGTTTGACTGTTTTAGGAGACTAGTAGGTGGGATTGCTTGGGAGTCATAGAGAAATCCAGAGAAGCTTACAGTCTTGAAGGACAGAATCTTACAAGCACAAGAATATTCCAGTTTGGTCTTCAGGAAGAAAAACACATCTACCAGGACTGGCTTGATGAATTTGGGACTTCACATAGATCTCTGAAGCAGAAAAGAAATCGATGTACAGGAGCTTGAGGCAAAAACAAGTGCCGAGCGCCACTTGGCTGGGGGAGCCGCCTCGCCCCCCGAGCTGCCTCCTTTTCTATCACCTGGGGCTTCCTCGGGAGCACTTTGCTGCAGGCCCCGAAATTGGAAAAAATGGGGTGTTTTACCTTGGGTAGCCTTTGGTGGCCTGTGCACAGCCCCCGTGTTCCTGCTGGTGGCTCATCTGAGCACAGCTGGGTCTGTCTCTTGCTCACCTTTAGTCGGGCACACCTGGTTCGTGCCAGCTCTTCTGGAATCCCGGGTGCAGTGTAGGAAGCGTTCGGTCACTTTCTGCGCTCAGTCAGTTGGGGGTTGTTGTACAGAACAGGTGGCGCAGGCCCTGTACGAAAACACAGAGAAGTTGGATTCTTCCCATGACTGAGGTTTGTGGGCAATACCTAAAAGTGGGAGACACTCCAGAAAGTACTGTAATTCCGTACATGACTGATGAAGCACATAATGCCAATATGATTTGATTGATAGTGAATTGTCACAGACAGTGAATAATGCTTTTAGATCTGGTCTTAAAGATCTGCTTTTATCTAGACTGTTGCACTAATCACCTCATGCCCCAAGTGTAGTAAATATAAACATTTCTAAATTTTTTGCAGCCTATCTTGATTTGCTTTTGCAAATTAGTGAAATGGGAGCCAAACCTAAAAGAGTTAACTGAGATATCTTGGCCTGCTAAGTAACTCCAGTACCTGTTTTGCTAGAAGAACATTTTAGGAGCGCTGGTTAATATCATGTTCTGTTCTGCTCCTTGGACCAAAGGCCTTATTATAGAAAGGAGTTGTATGCACACGGTAATAAATTAGGTAAACTAGATGTTTGAATAAGATATAGAAGGCCCAAAACCAGGATTTTGCAAGCTTGAAGAATTCAGGCCACCTAATTGAAGAGGTCAAATTGAGGAAGTCGTCCATGGCGACCACTAGAGGGATGAAGGCTTGAGGAGAAGACCCCTACAGTAGAAGACTGCGCACATCAGGAAAGACTCCACCCAGAGACTAGCCTACTTATTAATATGATGTAACCACGTACCCGAAGTGTATAAAATGGCTTAGTTTTGCACTTTCAAGTCAAACAAGTTTGTCCAGCGCAAGCTGGCTTCTTCCCAATGTTGAATAGACAAATACCTTGCTGCTTAAAGATACAGAAGTCTCTGAGAAGTTCTTCATACTGAGGTTTTTCAGCATCATTAGGTCTTCACCTAAACTCTTCAGTTGTAGCACTCCCTTCCTAGAAAGAAGTCATACAGACTCTTAACATGGTGCAGTTTTTTAGATTCAGATTTTGCTGCAGCAGGGGCTAAGTGATAAACAAGAATTTATTTCCTAAATGTGGTTTAAATACCACATATTTAATAAGGGGCAAGCATGGATTGAAGAGAAAACCTTCTATTTTCTGTTCAGTTGGATTTCTGTGTAGAAGGTAAAGCTAGTTAAAAGTTGGTGTGGCACATACAGTATCAGCTTAAGTATGCCAGCCTGGAGTGTATCACATTGTTATGTGCCCTGCTGAGAATCCAGCTCTGAGCTTCCTGCTGTGAGGCAAAGATTTCTGTAGGTCACCAACAGGTAGTCCAATCCAGGACTAGGATTATCACTGCTGTTGTTACAGTCAATGCATCTTCCCTTGTTCTTTAGCACAGAGCTCTTAAGCATAACTTCTGTGACTGCTGTTTCTTTACAGAGCTGCAATGTAGTTTCCCAGGTCCTGTAAAACGCTGGGATCAGTGGAGTATGATGCTTACCCTTTTTCACAGCTTGCTGCATTCTGCATTTACAATGTGCTTCTCAGAAAGGCTTGTTTAAATGAAACAAAACAGATGCACATGTATGGCAAGAGTTCAAAGGTAACTTGCTCTTTGCTTTGGCTGATATGGGAAATAAATAAAATAGTGAATTATCTTGCCAGTTTTACCATGCTTTGTTCTGGGGTCAGAGCTCTATAAAAGTCTAATTAAAAAAAAAATGTCCAAGATCTTTCTTCTTTAGAATATTTGTTATATACTGCCCATTTTTTTCTTTAATTCTCAGCTGCTTCTCCACTTGAATAGGCTATCTCTTGTAAGAAAGCATTGTATCCTCTCTCTGGCTGGGTGTTTTTTAACCTTGCCAAAATTCAAGGTGGGGTGAAGCCTGTATGTTATAATGCTTTGCTATAAAAGCAAAGTAGTTAAGCTACTGTAGTCCTTTTCTGAAATCTACGAATCACAGATCAGTTGGGAAATTAATAGTGTTTCTACTGTATCTTCTAGGAGCCTCATTAAATTTTCCACCTGAATTGATTAATTTAACATGTGTTTTCATACTTCAGAAACAGTAACAGACTGAACTAGCCCAAAGTGAGAACAAAGTTTTAAGGTCACTGTAAAGCTGCAAAGGTAGGGCAGAAGGAGAAATGGGAGGGATTTCACATTTGATAATTCTTCTGAAAGCATTGTAAGGTGCAGCACAGGCACACATTAAGAAACCACATCTCCTACAGGAGATATGCGTGAGAGGTAGACTGTGTGTATAACCACGTGGTAGCGTGTGGATGATTAGAACTTTGGGAGATTAGTGAAGGAAGGTTCTTTAGAAATTTGTTCGGTGCTTATGAGCATTTTGTCTATTAACAGTGCCTTGTCTGTTGCATTGCTGATATGGAACCTGAATGTATATCCCATTGATTGCCAGTTAATTATGTTCTATTAATAAATCAATAAGCCAGTTTGATTTTGATTTAGTTTAAACTAAGTAAACTGTGCAGTTTTCCCCTCTCACACCTTTATGTTGAGATTGTAGATATTACATGATGTGAAATGCCATTATGAGTTATAGAAGTTGTGTGACAGTGGGAGAAAAGGTAAATGTTGATGATGAAAAGATAATCTTACTGTTAATACAGTGGGACAGCACATTTTCATGAAGATTTTTGGGCAAGACAGTGACTGGTTCTAGAATTCTGTGGGCTCTAATGATATCATTAAACTCAAGTGTAACAGGAAGAAGGCTGTTAGGACATGCTGAAATTATACTGGTCAGAGATGCTATTTCAGCAGTGGCGAATTAAGCTTCTGTTACTAGTCATCATTAGTTCCCTATGGAATACTCTGACTTCCTCAGATCTGTCTTCCTAACACAACATGGCTTCCAAACACTGATCTCCAAATTATTCAGGTTTGAACAAACACTCTGAATGTTGATGTTAAGCCTCCACACTGAGCAAGAAATTAACAAAAACTTCAATAACTTATTCTGACCTTATACTGATTCTACTTTGTGCAGGAGTATTGGACAAGATAACTTCCTGAGGTCCATTCCCACCTGTACTTTCCTAGGCTCTTATGTCTTGACCTGCACTTTTTCTCGTGCTGATATTTTCTCTGGGGGTGATATTTTGGCTGTCTGGCTGCATCCACAGCAATATGTGAGTGTGGTCACACCAGTTCTCAAAGCAATAGCTCTGCTTCCTTAGATAAAATCCAGCTGTCTTTGGCTGCATAACTACTTTTCTGCCTTTTTTTATGAGTAGGAAGTAAGGGTACTCTAGAGATGGCTTTTTTCTGCCTGCCTTAGAGGTCCTGAGGCACAGTTTGCCTATGCACTCTGTTTTGTTAGAGGCTGAAGTCAGACACGATTAAAGACATTAGTTTTAAATTGATAGTCCATGGAAGAGGTAAGTTTAAGTTCCTGATTTTATTTCCATTTAGTTAGGGTAAGTTTAATCAATGGTTTGAGAAGATCACAAACACAAGACCAGAAGGGACTGAGTCTGGTCCCTTGATTTATGATTGAAGATGATTTCTTTGTATAGGCCTACATTACATCCATACAAACATTGCTTCACTAGGTTAGGTGAGTCTTCTAATTTTTAGCTTAAATTTATTCATAGGAGTTCTGGTTTTGCATGCTGATGCTCAAAGAGTTTTAGCATTGCCTGTATTTGTAGACAGCAGTCAGGAAAGTTAAAGTACCATTTTAATTCCAGTTGTGGTTGAGCTGTAGCTGAAGTTATCTTTGACTGTGTTTCAAGCCCATAATTATTTGGCAAGTGGTTTAATGACCCAAAAACAATTTGACAAGACCCGAAGCAGTTAGAGCTTCATGACATCAGAGGATAAAACATTTAAAATTGCAGAAATTTTAGAACCCATGCCTCCAGTAAATATTTTTACAGCTAATTGGTTTGAGCCACTGTGTCTGGGTTGAAATCCAACCCTTTTTATGCTCTGTTTCAATGTTTTTCCAGCTCTCTGAGCTTCCCATATGAGTTAAGGAATTGGAAAGCAGCAGTGTCACTGTGCTGCTGTGACAGGGAAGGTTAAGCCATCCTAAGTTCCTCACCAGTGCAGGCTGCTGCAAGATTTTGCACAGGTACAGAAGCATATGAATACCTATGGTAATGTGGTAAGATTGGTGCAGAGGGACAAGTGGGACTGTCCTGGTGCTGTCAGAGTACGTCTGTCTGAAGTAGCAGCACAGGCTTCAGTGCTACAGAACAAAAGGAACTATAGATTTGGGCAGTGAATTTCTGTGAGGAACTGTTTTCTTGGAGCTTGACTTAGGTGCAAAAAATATCTTTTCAGTGGTCAGGTATTCACCAGGAACTGCAAAATGGATGCAGATCGATCATCACAGGGTCATGGAGCGGGGTGAGAGTTCATTTTCCACGTATGAGTCATTTGTCTAGGAAAGGGGAAGGAAGAGATATTATGCTGCCTAAAGAGTTCTTGTGGGTGAAACAGCTGAATGCCAGTTTTCAGCAAGACCAAGTTCTTAGAAACACAGCCCAAGTTAAAAAAATAATTCCAGCTGCCTTTTAAGAAGACAAGAAGTTTTAACTGCTTTAAATGCTTTGGAATTCAGGTTTGATTTGAGATCTGCTCTGTAGACACACTGCTTTTATCCTAGAGCAGTACACCAACCAAGCCAGTAATTTTAAGGATATGTTGTGTGTTTCTTTGGGAGCATATACAAGACAGATCTGTGTATACTCCATGCCAGTCAGACATCACCACTGTGGGGTACCTGGTCTGCAGCTGTTTTATGTCCATCTCATATGGGCACTTCTGTTACATAGTTTTCCCTGAATTCTCAGTCTCAAATAATTCTCTTCATCTGATCAACATTTCCAATGGAGTGCACTTATAAAGCCAAGACATATCATGAAACTATTAAGAAGACTGTTGCTTCTTTTTGCATAATCTTTATATTTCTCTTTGGAAAGTCCATTCTCTATCTTGCAATTCATTCACATCTTCTCCATCTTATTTCTCATGTGAAACTGAAACAAGTGCTTCAGCTTCACCTAAGTTTATTTAATCAAGAATTTGATCAAGTATATTTCCTTTGCTCTGGGCAGTTGGTTATTTTATATAAGAAAGAGTGAGTGACCAGTAAGCCACTTTATATTTTTGTCTGCCTTTTATTTTGATTGTTTTTAGCATAGATCTTGAATTATATGTGTAGAGAAGTTCATTTTTACACACAGTTAACATCACTTTGTTTTAAACTAAGCAAACAACACACAGAGAACCACAAAATAATTTATTTGTTCAACTGCTTTTAGATACCAAAAAATAACCTTATATGAGTAAGTAGGGGATAAATCTGAAGGAAAAAAAGAGAGAAAAAAAAAACATGATGAAAAAACAAGGAGATTGCAGGAAAGGAATGTGTCAGTCTAAATTGCCAGGCTTTTATTTATTTATTCATTTAGCAAGGTTTAGAGGGGGGGGGTAAAGAAATACTTGTGTGTTGCAAGAGGTTTCGTGGAAATGACTGCTGAAATCAGAGTATAAATGGTTTGCAAGGTCAGTCTCTGGAGCAGTTACTGAGCAAAACAGGAGTGGAAATAACACAAAGTACTCAAAATAAGTAGGGTCCAATACTGGATGTGTTTGGATGAGTTTCTGAATCTCTAGAATGTTGTTCCTGGGCTATGCAGCTCTGCTCTTGTGTTGGACGTGTTGTACTGCACAAAGAGGTAAGCTTTAATGTAGAAAAAAATCAGAGCTCTTTCTTAAAGTGTATGTGAAAATGGTATTTAAAACAATATGCAGAGGCATTGTAGCCTTTCTAATGAACTTCTGACAACAGTGACTGAGATTTCTTCTGGCAGTATTTAACACCTTTAGTATTTCATATCTTATCATAGGTATTACTTCACCTATTTATTTGGATAACTACTGCTGTTATTAATCTGATGCCCAAATTTTAAACATTCGTATCACTATAAACTAGAGCCAGATGACTAATTTTTTATTAATTATGTTTGTTAATTATTCTAACTTCTAAAGCGAGTAAACAATTAGTAGAATAAGATAGAAAATATTCCATAAATGTGCATTTATTTCTGTCTGGAATAATCTGTGAGATGATGTAAGAAAGAGAAATCATTACTAAATTGACTGAAAAGCTTATAAAATATCTCTTGACTGATAGACTGTTTTTAGTCTATGAAATGAGATAGATGTATACAAGTATGCTTTTGTACATGTTTGGATAGGTAGCTAGGATACTGTGTATCTTTTCACAAGCCTCTGATGGTTTTTGTTTCTCTACCGAATTTACTTTTCTTTTTTTGTGTTTATATTGCTTAATCTATCCTCAGTAATTTAATTTTTCTTTTTGCTTTGCACACACTGTTGAGGAAAGGGTGCTGTGTGGTTTTGAGCTAGTGTGTCTTTGCTTGGTTCAAACTGGTTTTAATTTTGGGTGAAGACTATGAAGACCTTATTAATCAAAACAAACCAATAGGTTTTACTTTGAAAAATTGAAAAAAAAATCAAGAAATTAAAGGAATAGCTTACCTTAATTAAATATTCTTATAATAAATACTGCCTCAAACCAACTAATAAAGTCTAATTTGTTTGCAAAGAAGTCCAGAAAAGTCCTGGAACTTGAACTAAAAATTTGCCTTAATTTGCACTATGTTTTCACAATGCTTTATTTAGGCCAGGGAGATTGCAAAACAATGTGAATGTAGCAAAATTTGATTTATCCAGGACAATTATTACTATGGGTCATGCAGGATTCTTAGTTCCAGCTCCATATTGGAAGTCTGTGTGAGTTGTTCCAAGAGCTGAATTTTTGCACAAGGACGGAAAAACACTTCTACTTGGATTTGTAGCTTGTGCTTGACTTTGTGGAAGTTGCTACCAGCACAATGATGGTAAGAAAGCAGCTTGAGCTATTTGTAACTGAGGTCAAGTCACATGCAAATCCTGAGTGAATTATTCCAGATCTCCTTGTCTCTCGCTGAAGGATTTGAAGGTATGCATTTAATGCATGCTTTCAAATCTAGAAATAAAACCCTTCCAGTGTTGGTGAGTACATATGGTGAGTGCATGATGTAACTCATATAGTTTTGAAGTACATCCTGTCAGAAAATTTCTTCATCTCAAGCTACTAAGAAACTGCATTTAAAAATATAATAATTAGCTGTAGTAGTAAATAAATAAATAAATAAATATAATCTGAGACTTAATGGTAATGCATACCATCAATATCAGGGCAGGAGTGGGAAAGAACAGAGGGAGTTGTTATAAAACACAGATGGAAGCATTTCTTAGTAATGATGAAGAAACTAAGATCATCTTTCATGCTTCTTTTTTTAATGTAAACACAGAGGAGCTGAGGCCCCATTCTGCACAACAGAAATATAAATATAAAAATATATATAAAAATATAAATATATATAAAATTCACTTTCTACATTTTGATGTGGAAGAATGAGTGTTTTTCCTGCTCACTTTGTGTCACAAATCCAGGCTGCCTAGTCTGTGGTTGGGATCTGCGCAGTGTAATTCAGGAAGCTGTAACTCTGCATCCCTCACATGAAAAAGGATTTTAGTTATTTTTCCTGTAGTCCTGTTTTCAAGAAGCACCTGGACAACCTGTAGGAAAGCTTCAGTGAGAGTACTGCTGCTTTCTCAAACCTTTGGCCTTACAGCTAACTGGAGAGAGGACTTCTGTGCCAGGTCTCTGCTGCATAATGAATGTACTCACCAAGGACTTCCTCCCCTGCTGGAGAATTCTTCTCCCATTTATTTTCTATACAGAGATTTCATTTCTTTTCCAAGGCTTCATTTCTCAGGGGTTGTTTTATTTATTCCTGATGAATTCTCACCTTTCATGTTCAGATGGAAACCAGACTTCATTGAGTCTAATTGGCTAGACTGTTCAGGCTCTGTTACTCTGCGTAAAGCTTCAGCCTTCCAAATGAGTACGTTTCAGTCACCCAGGCACTGAAAATTAGTCACTGAAATTAGTTCAATAATTATAAACAACTAAAAAAATTGTTTCTTAACAAAGTCATTTAGTCTTTCATTAACAGCTTCCCAACATTTGTTTCTTTCTGCTTTAGTCTGGCTTTTCTCACTCTCAAGCTGTTTAGGAATTCCTTAATTAAATTGATTCAGGCTCATTTGTTGTAATTCGTAATCTCATAGATAAGAGAAAAGAAGTTTTGGAATATCAAGTGATCTGAGCCTGGAGAGAAAGTTTAGGCAATGTAAAGGTAAGAGGAGATTTGACAGAATTTGATTGCAATGGAATTGGGGGAAATGACAGAGCTATAAGCACTGCCAAAGACACCAGCAGCACAGTGCGATTGTTCCCACACTCCTGAGGGGTGTGCCAGGGTGGGCAGTCCTGGTTCTGTCTGTTTCTGAAAACACCCAGATGATGAGGCTGAATCTGAATTAATTGTGTGCTAAACTTTTTATCATGCATGTGTTGACATTGTTGCTCTTAAATTCTATTTCAAGCGAAGCCGTGTGACTACCCAGTTATAGAAAACGGCAAGTTAAAATATGACATCCGCTTTCACTTTCCGAAGAGAGTTGGACAGAGTGTTGACTACTACTGTTTCCAAGATTATTCAACCCTCACTGGAAATACCTGGGGTCGAAGTTTTTGCTCTCTAAGGGGCTGGTCTCCAGCACCAAAATGCCTGAGTAAGTACATTTCCAATATATACTCAATTCTGTTATAATTATGAGAGGTCTGTGCAGCTGAAATTGTTCTGATGGAACACAAGACAAAACAGTTTCTTAGAGTCGAACTGCTTTAGCTGACCCCTGGAACTGCATCCAGACTGTCATCCTCTCTGCAGAGCTCAAAGTGTCAGCTGGAGACACTCTGAAATGAGTAAGGCTGAAATGATGCTTTTGGATTTGGGAGATTTTTTACTCTTGAAACTATTCATGAGATTAAGAAATATATGGGAAATCTTCTCTGGCTTCTGGGTAACATGCAAGCATATACTTTCCTCTGGACACACAGCTGCACATAGAGAGTTTCTACTCTTTGTAAATATATTCTCCCTTCCATGGCTTGGGCACTTTGTCTAGAGGTTACTCTCTGAGAACCATTGCTGGTCCCTTTGGAAAGCTTTTGGAGCTGAAAAGATGTCACACTCTTGGAATAAGCTGAAAGTGATTGTGGTATCAGCAAAAGAACCAGGTACACTCCTTAGATTTAAATTGAATTAGACTTCCATTTAAAGCAGCAAGGTGAGATCTCCTCTCAGACAGCTTCAGTCACAGCAAAGTTCCTGCCTACTGGTAGGACTGGAAAGCGGATTACAAAAGGTTGATCTTTCCTTGATGCCCTCAGTGGAGTGGTGCTCAGTGCAGGAAAGGAATGGAGCCCTGCCTGGAGGAAAGGACCAGTTACTCAGATAAAACACTGTAACATTCCTTCAGCCCATGTCTGGGCTCTTGGGGTGCAGGAGGCCATAGAGCCAGCGTGCCAAGCTGTTGCTAAAATCTCTAGACCTGCTTTGAGAGGCTGATACACTTCCACAGAGATGATAAAATCTCCAGGAGGCAAATGCTGAAATTCACTCTGTGCAGACAGCAACAGTTTAGAGACAAAGCAGACCAAACTAGAACTGGTGCACATGAACAGTAAGCAAGAGATTGTGGTTACTAGACCAACTCTTTTTGCTTTATGCAGTGACTTCCACTTCTGTTCATGTGATTCATTAATCTCAGGACAGTGCAATAAAGCAAACTTTCATTCAGGTTTGCACACAAAGGTCTTTTTGGGGAGGAAGGCTACAGAAATGTGCTTGGAGGCCTGTTTTTTATTAACTGTCTTCCTAAGAATTGTTTTACCTCAGTTCTTGCTGTAGAGATTACTGTCATTAAATGTACTTCCTTCTTCTTTAGAAAAATGAACTTCCTTTCTTCTTTAGAAAAATGTTATACCAGGCAGCTGATAAATGGTTATTTCCCAAGACACCCGATGGATTTTTACAAAGAAGGTGAAAGAACTACATATGCCTGCAACAATTATTTCCAGACCGAGCATGATGTCGTCATGTGCACAAAGAATGGCTGGTTCCCTCATCCCAGATGTATCCCTGAAAGTGAGTGTGCTTGTATTTTGTTGAGATTTCTGTCTAAAAGCAGTAAACACATCATCACATGACCCATCACCACGGCTTAGTAACTCTAAGTCAAGGTGCTGTACAATGGAAAGGCAGTGCTGTGATTGTCTCACCTGTCCTCCACAGCTCTCGTGTCCCTGTGCTGCTGAGGTCGGTCACTAAAGACACTCTGAGTGTACCCCTGTAAAACAGCCACACGTGGCTCCTCCAGATATAGGATGTGAGCTCTGGGATGGGAGTCATAATCCCTTTGTCTTCCCTAGAGAAATCTTGTTCTAGCATAGCTGTGCAGTCGTAAATAGCAATCATTTCCCTTGCACAGACTCCTTTCAGCCTCTCGCTGTGCCACCTGATCCTTGTTCCTCTTGCTTTCTTTCCCATTGGCATCATACTGGCAGGTGGGAGGAATAGGAAGGTTACCTCTCCAGTTCATTTCCAGCTTCTGTTCCTGACTTGCACCAAGCCTGAAATTGCTCTAATATCTCAGAGGAACTTTAAATATTTAGACAATTATTTCCTATGGACAAAGAAATAATTCAATATAACTTTTCTTGGACTGTAAGAATATTTTTAGGAAACAATTCCACACTGATAGAGACTCTTACCATCTAATGTTTTGGATTGCCCCCCACTGAGATTTTGACTTAGCAGTGAGCAAGAAAAATGAAATTTTCTGATTCCTAGGTTAGGCAATTCTGGACATCACTGTGAAATTTAAACTTTTGAAGGTGTTGCACTACAGTATCATTAACCCTGCTCCCAACGATTAATACATCCTCCAGTGTTCTTCAAAGTGCTTTGGATTTTAGGGGTTTTTATATCTTTGTTTACTTGGCTCTCTAGTATGAAAATATTTCTATTTGTTGTAGGGTTAATTTCTTCAAATGAAGACACTCCTTGACAGAATGATTAAGTAGTAAAGAATTTAATACTCTGTGCATGTTTTCTTTCAGAATACAAGACCAAAACAGCCAACCAAGGCAACTGATTTCCATCCATTGAAAAAATGTATTAAACACTATATATTAACAATGGATCAAACATTCTCTATAAACAATAGATTAAATTAATGAGGTAGTAAACAATATATTAAACATTAATGGTTAGGTAATATTAAATGGCTTAAAGAATGTATTCCAAGTGACAGGAAACCGGTTACAACACTGGGTCTGTCTGCACTAGTGTTTTATTGTGCAAGAAGGGGGCCTTTGGTAGAGATTTGCTTCGGTCCTGCAGTCTGTGCACTCAGAATGACTTCTCCATGGCAGGACTGAGGTGACACCTGCCCACTGCAGTGCTGTGCCCCTGCCTTGCAGTATGGACAGGAGGTGCTCTCCGTGCATGCACAGTGCTGTGCAGGCCCAACAGGAGTTTCATTTCTAGTGAAGACCAGATGTGGACATGCAGTTTGGAAGCTTGCAGGATTGCTGCAAATCAAACCCCTCTCTATCCCCGTTTGTGTCCCCCAAGAAGAGAGCTCAGTGCCAAAGCAAAACTTCATGTGCTCTTAAAATTAAATGGCCTAAGTCCTAGAATGCTTCTGCTTTTGTCTTCCTTCTGCTGTGATTTATAAGCATGCAGTTTAGCAGTATTTCACTTGCAAGAAATTTTGTCTGTCTCTTTCAGAAAAATGCCGGCCAAACTATGTTGAGAATGGTCATTTCACCTCGTCAAGAACCGAGTTCCGTTTAAGGGAAGTGGCCCCGTATAGATGTAATACTGGCTTTGTAACTGCAGTAGGACAAGAAAAAGGAGAGACACACTGCCAAGAACATGGCTGGGCTCCACCTCCAAAATGCATCAGTGAGTACCTAAACGTGTCAGAGCTCCCTACCATTGTCACCATCATAGAAATGGTGTCCTGTGGACTCAGAGTTTTACCATCCAGATTGGTGGAGTTTTCTTACTGGGCAGAGACTCCAATCTCTCATCCTTCAGAGGTTAATCATTCTCAGGCTCTAGGATATACAGAGAGAAAACATAAAGGTATTGTATAAGGTGGGGAAAATCTAGTGTCTTCTTGGTGACCTATCTTTTTGGATCTCTTTAGCATTAAGTACATGGTAATCACTGGGTGTTCAGTGATTCTTACCTGATAAAAAATACCTTTGCCCAAATTTACTCCCAATGTATGAAGAAATGCCTGTGAACCAAGGCATTCAGCCAAGAACTTTCTTTAAATGTGACCAAACTAGAAACAAATAGGATTCTTTATTTGGACCTTCTTTCCTCTCCTGACCAGGTGTGTAGGCCTGGTTTTTTAATAACTGTCTTCCTAAGAATTTTTTACCTCAGTTCTTGCTGTAGAAATTATTGTTGTTAAATGTGCTTCCTTTCTTCTTTAAAAAAATGTACTTCCTTTCTTCTTTACAAAAATGAACTTCCTTCTTCTTTAGAAAAATGTACTTCCTTTCTTCTTTAGAAAAATGTTATACCAGGCAGCTGATAAATGGTTATTTCCCAAGACACCAGATGGATTTTTACAAAGAAGGTGAAACAGCTACATATGCCTGCAACAATTATTTCCAGACCGAGCATAATGTCGTCCTGTGCACAAAGAATGGTTGGTTCCCTCATCCCAGATGTATCCCTGAAAGTGAGTGTGCTTGTATTTTGTTGAGATTTCTGTCTAAAAGCAGTAAACACATCATCACATGACCCATCACCACTGCTTAGTAACTCTAAGTCAAGGTGCTGTACAATGGAAAGGTAGTGCTGTGATTGTCTCACCTGTCCTCCACAGCTCTCGTGTCCCTGTGCTGCTGAGGTCGGTCACTAAAGACACTCTGAGTGTACCCCTGTAACACAGCCACACGTGGCTCCTCCACATATAGGATGTGAGCTCTGGGATGGAAGTCATAATCCCTTTGTCTTCCCTAGAGAAATCTTGTTCTAGCATAGCTGTGCAGTCGTAAATAGCAATCATTTCCCTTGCACAGACTCCTTTCAGCCTTTGGTAGAGATCAAACCCCTGTCCATCCTTGTTTGTGTCCCCCAAGGAGAGAGCTCAGTGCCAAAGCAAAACTTCATGTGCTCTTAAAATTAAATGGCCTAAGTCCTAGAATGCTGCTGCTTTTGTCTTCCTTCTGCTGTGATTTATAAGCATGCAGTTTAGCAGTATTTCACTTGCAAGAAATTTTGTCTGTCTCTTTCAGAAAAATGCCGGCCAAACTATGTTGAGAATGGTCATTTCACCTCGTCAAGAACCGAGTTCCGTTTAAGGGAAGTGGCCCCGTATAGATGTAATACTGGCTTTGTAACTGCAGAAGGACAAGAAAAAGGAGAGACACACTGCCAAGAACATGGCTGGACTCCACCTCCAAAATGCATCAGTGAGTACCTAAACATGTCAGAGCTCCCTACCATTGTCACCATCATAGAAATGGTGTCCTGTGGACTCAGAGTTTTGCCATCCAGATTGGTGGAGTTTTCTTACTGGGCAGAGACTCCAATCTCTCATCCTTCAGAAGTTAATCATTCCCAGGCTCTAGGATATACAGAGAGAAAACATAAAGGTATTGAGTAAGGTGGGGAAAATCTAGTGTCTTCTTGGTGACCTATCTTTTTGGATCTCTTTAGCATTAAGTAAATGGTAATCACTGAGTGTTCAGTGATTCTTACCTGATAAAAAGTACATTTGCCCAAATTTACTCCCAATGTATGAAGAAATGCCTGTGAACCAAGGCATTCAGCCAAGAACTTTCTTTAAATGTGACCAAACTAGAAACAAATAGGATTCTTTATTTGGAACTTCTTTCCTCTCCTGACCAGGTGTGTAGGCCTGGTTTTTTAGTAACTGTCTTCCTAAGAATTTTTTACCTAAGTTCTTGCTGTAGAAATTACTGTTGTTAAATGTGCTTCCTTTCTTCTTTAAAAAAATGTACTTCCTTCTTCTTTAGAAAAATGTACTTCCTTTCTTCTTTAGGCATATGTTATACCAGCCAGCTGATAAATGGTTATTTCCCAAGAGACGGGACGGATTTTTACAAAGAAGGTGAAAGAACTACATATCACTGCAACAATGATTACCATGCTGAGCATAATGTCGTCACGTGCAAAAGCAATGGCTGGTTCCCTCATCCCAGATGTATCCCTGAAAGTGAGTGTGCTTGTATTTTGTTGAGGTTTCTATCTAACCGCAGTAAACACATCATCACATGACCCATCACCACGGCTTAGTAACTCTAAGTCAAGGTGCTGTACAATGGAAAGGCAGTGCTGTGATTGTCTCACCTGTCCTCCACAGCTCTCGTGTCCCTGTGCTGCTGAGGTCGGTCACTAAAGACATTCAGAGTGTACCCCTGTAAAACAGCCACACGTGGCTCCTCCAGATATAGGATGTGAGCTCTGGGATGGGATAATCCCTTTGTCTTCCCTAGAGAAATCTTGTTCTAGCATAGCTGTGCAGTTGTAAATAGCAATCATTTCCCTTGCACAGACTCCTTTCAGCCTCTCGCTGTGCCACCTGATCCTTGTTCCTCTTGCTTCCTTTCCCATTGGCATCATACTGGCAGGTGGGAGGAAAAGGGAGGTTACCTCTCCAGTTCATTTCCAGCTTCTGTTCCTGACTTGCACCAAGCCTGAAATTGCTCTAATATCTCAGAGGAGCTTTAAATATTTAGACAATTATTTCCTATGGACAAAGAAATAATTCAATATAACTTTTCTTGGACTGTAAGAATAGTTTTTTAGGAAACAATTCCACACTGATAGAGACTCTTACCATCTAATGTTTTGGATTGCCCCCCACTGAGATTTTGACTTAGCATTGAGCAAGAAGAATGAAATTTTCTGATTCCTAGTGTTAGGCAATTCTGGACATCACTGTGAAATTTAAACTTTTGAAGGTGTTGCACTACAGTATCATTAACCCTACTCCCAACGATAAATACATCCTCTAGTGTTCTTCAAAGTGCTTTGGATTTTAGGGTTTTTTATATCTTTGTTTACTTGGCTCTCTAGTATGAAAATATTTCTATTTGTTGTAGGGTTAATTTCTTCAAATGAAGACACTCCTTGACAGAATGATTAAGTAGTAAAGAATTTAATACTCTGTGCATGTTTTCTTTCAGAATACAAAACCAAAACAGCCAACCAAGGCAACTGATTTCCATCCATTGAAAAAATGTATTAAACACTATATATTAACAATGGATCAAACATTCTCTATAAACAATAGATTAAATTAACGAGGTAGTAAACAATATATTAAACATTAATGGTTAGGTAATATTAAATGGCTTAAAGAATGTATTCCAAGTGACAGGAAACTGGTTACAACACTGGGTCTGTCTGCACTAGTGTTTTATTGTGCAAGAAGGGGGCCTTTGGTAGAGATTTGCTTTGGTCCTGCAGTCTGTGCACTCAGAATGACTTCTCCGTGGCAGGACTGAGGTGACACCTGCCCACTGCAGTGCTGTGCCCCTGCCTTGCAGTATGGACAGGAGGTGCTCTCCGTGCATGCACAGTGCTGTGCAGGCCCAACAGGAGTTTCATTTCTAGTGAAGACCAGATGTGGACATGCAGTTTGGAAGCTTGGAGGATTGCTGCAAATCAAACCCCTGTCTATCCCCGTTTGTGTCCCCCAAGAAGAGAGCTCAGTGCCAAAGCAAAACTTCATGTGCTCTTAAAATTAAATGGCCTAAGTCCTAGAATGCTGCTGCTTTTGTCTTCCTTCTGCTGTGATTTATAAGCATGCAGTTTAGCAGTATTTCACTTGCAAGAAATTTTGCCTGTCTCTTTCAGAAAAATGCCGGCCAAACTATGTTGAGAATGGTCATTTCACCTCGTCAAGAACCGAGTTCCGTTTAAGGGAAGTGGCCCCGTATAGATGTTATCCTGGCTTTGTAACTGCAGAAGGACAAGACGAAGGAGAGACACACTGCCAAGAAAATGGCTGGGCTCCACCTCCAAAATGCATCAGTGAGTACCTAAACATGTCAGAGCTCCCTACCATTGTCACCGTCATAGAAATGGTGTCCTGTGGACTCAGAGTTTTACCATCCAGATTGGTGGAGATTTCTTACTGGGCAGAGACTCCAATCTCTCATCCTTCAGAGGTTAATCATTCTCAGGCTCTAGGATATACAGAGAGAAAACATAAAGGTATTGGGTAAGGTGGGGAAAATCTAGTGTCTTCTTGGTGACCTATCTTTTTGGATCTCTTTAGCATTAAGTAAATGGTAATCACTGGGTGTTCGGTGATTCTTACCTGATAAAAATACATTTGCCCAAATTTACTCCCAATGTATGAAGAAATGCCTGTGAACCAAGGCATTCTGCCAAGAACTTACTTTAAATGTGAACCAAACTAGAGACAAATAGGATTCTTTATTTGGAACTTCTTTCCTCTCCCGAACAGCGGTGTAGTACAGTAAAAGACTTTTTTTTCCCTTGTTGGGATGCTGAGGCTCATAATATTGACTAACTTGAGCCACCATTTTATCTTTGCCTTTTATTTCACACTGTCTTTACCTAGGACTTTGTGGCTTCTTTTCTGACCCCTCACAAATGATCACAAGGAACAGGAGTACAAACCATTTGCTATGACACCAAAAATAATAATAATATGTAGCAGAAGGAAATAATTGAACCTAAGCAAGAAGTATTTATGTTAAATGTTACTTCTAGACACATATTTCCGAAGATTAATGCAATAGATAATATGTGAACATACTGCATATTCTACATGAATATTCTGGCAATGCAGAATTAGTAATGTTTCAAATATACCAACGGGGATGATGCTTCCAAAGGGCAATGTTTCTGGATAACAAAATGCACTTTGTTTTACTCTACAGAATCATGTAAAGCACCAGAGGACATTTTGATTCACCACACAAATAAAAATGTGTTCATGCCTGAAGATACAATTGAGTATTCATGTTTGGAAGGATATAAAACTGCAAATAATATGCCAACTGATACCACAAGGTGTGGCATAAATGGTGAATGGAGTCCAGCACCTGAGTGTCTCGGTGAATATTTTTGTGTTTGTTAATTAGCATAACTCTGTATGCACTCTGTGAACCTTTTTTCTTTAAGACTTTCTTTGGTTTTGTTCGAATCAGTAGCATTTCATGTACTTTCTGTCGGGTGTACAGTATATGTTAAAATATTTTGTCTTTGTAGTGTGTAATGCTGACATTGCCCAATGGAGATTTTTATCCCAAGAAGGGTAAATACCCCAATGGAGATGTTGTGAAATTTACCTGTGCAAACCAATTTGTAAGAGTGGGACCTGCCTCTGTTCAGTGCTACTCCTTCGGATGGTTTCCATCACCACCAGTGTGTAAAGGCAATTATTTTGTTAACTTTATCGCAGTAGGAAATATAATCATAGAATCAGCTGGGTTGGAAAGGAGCTCTGAGATCATCAAGTCCAACTCTTCATTTTTTTTTACTGTTTTCTTTTTTTTTTTGGAAATCCAGTCCGGGTTTTCCCCCTTTCCGTACGCCGGAAAAATCAAGTCCGGCTTTCCCCCCATTCCATACTCTGGCTAAAAACCAGTCCGGGTTTTCCTCCATTCCGTACTCCAGAGGAAATCCAGTCTGGCTTTTCCTCCACCCCCCCAAAGCAGCCCCAGGCCCCACCCCCCACAGAGGCACCTCAAGGTACCAACCCCACAAGGAATGAGGATGCCTTGGTCCTAAACACTTCTGCAGACACCTTCTGTAAGCCAGTCTTGGGCCAAAAAGCAACCATCCCACCTTTATCTCTAAAAGGCCAAGAACTAGGCCTCTTGGGATCATTTCATGGCATTTTTCTATTTTGTGTGAAAGATTCTCAACAGCTGAGCTTTCACTGTTAGACTTTCTGGGAGCTTTGATTATGCAATATGAAGTTATTAAGTTCTGCAGTGACTGAAAGCCAATTGGCAAATGGCTTGAACAAGATAGTAATCAGGTTATTGATTGTAATGTTTGAAAAATTAGTTATTGTTCAATGATGCATAAATAATGTGCAATATGGCAGCCAGGAGGGATTCATTTGAGTAATGTCCTCTCTTACTATATCCTAAATGTCCTAAGTTTTACCACTGCCTAGTGTTGATACCCTTCAGATATTGTATCCTATGTTCTTTTTTCTAATCACATGATATTGAAGAAAAAAAAAGCTGGGCTGGAGATGACACAGAACTGGACCCAAGCAAAAGAAATCCAGTGAAGGATTTTCCTGTGAAATTCCTTAGCTTCATCTAGTAGGATGAATAAATTCATGCCAGAGGAAAAATATATACCTCTGTACTTATCCTTTTTAAGGAGGAGTACAACTTACTGGCCTCTGAAAAGAGTTTCTTGTGCTGGTGCTACGCCCTTTCATGAGGCACATGGGCTTTCATGAAGCTTGAGAGGATGAAGGGACCTCATATTTCTGACTTCCCTTTCTTCCCACTCAGTCAATTCCCTTAATAGGAGTTCCATTCACTCCATCCAAACTGAATTCCTTTAATATGCCCTATATATATCACTTGCTATGTGATTTTTAGAACATACGTTGTTATTACTTGCAGAATGGTCAATTTTTATTTTTTTTTTAAGGATACTGAAGTTGCCATCCTTGTAATACTTTTTTTTTTCCTTGCAACAAACGTGGGTAGAGCCCTTCCCAAATCTTCGTTTGCAAAGCCTAGCCATGATGATGATGAATACTTTTTTTCTCTTAAAACTGGGTTGGTTTTATCAAGCACTTCTTTTATCATAGCAGGCATTGACAGTGCATGGAAGTAAGAGACATGAGTGAGCCAGGATCACACTTATCTGTTTGTGATCACCAGCCCACCATGAACCCAGATATTCAAAGGCATAAATCAATGATCCGTTTAACCGGTTCCACTGATTTTTCTTAACTTTAAACAACAAATTCAAGGTGTTTTATGTTGTACTTTATTGTGCTTGAAGTACTGAGTTCAGAGCATAGATTTGATCTCTTGATTTCAGTGAAGGCCAGAGGCTGTGGACCTCCCCCTGAAATTACCAATGGAAATATTGCTGGTGGCTCTGAGGAACAGTATCAACATGGGGACAGAAAGCAGTATGAGTGTAACATGGAATTTAAATTGGTTGGATCAAAGGAAATAGAATGTGTTGATGGACAGTGGTCACCTCCTCCCTCTTGCATTGGTAATCTACTTTAACACTACTTATGAGAAGTCTGTACTTCACTGTAAGCTAATACGTCACAGATATTGTCACAATTAACATTACATATTTGCAGATATGTTATGTTCAAAATCATGTTGTGAATGAAGAGTCAGGAAAAGCCATTACCTTTTCCTGTCACTACCACTGCAACAGTACTATTTATTTTATTATGACTTACTGTGTTATGCATTTGCACTCATCATTAGCAGGAGGATGCTGTTATTTACATAAGTTTATCATGAACCGGTAACTGCAGAAAAGCAGTAGAACATAAGTTGCTAAAGAAAGTGTAGTTAAGCAACTGCAGTCTTTTTATTTACACAGACAGATCTAAGATGGCATATAAAACTTTCAAGTAGTCTCTCAAGAGCTGTGTGCTTATTTGTTTGTGTAGTATATTGCATATTGGAGTCTCAGTTTTGACTGGAAGCCTTAAATAGTATCCCATAGTCTGTAAATCAGCATTATTTATTACTTATTATTTATTACTTAGTTGCCTGTATGTCTTGAAAGGATCTCAGTATATCACTTGTACTGATGGGCAGTGGTCAAGCCCCCCTGTTTGCCTAGGTACGTGGAAGCATGTGCTGGGTGGCCAAAGGCTGTGTGACTGCTCCTCTCTTCTTTTTCTCAGACTCTGAGGGCAGAACTTGTGCAGCAGCATTTGTGCTGGGGCTGTGATGCTGGCAGGGCAGAACAGCAGCGAGTCCTTCTTTTATCCCCAAAGAGTTTCTCTGAAAGTTAGCTCGTGTAGTCCTTTCTGCTGCCAGGAGCTCTGCAAGGAGAGGACTTTGGCTGAACCCCCCTCTGTGAGGGGATCTCCACCTCTGTGCAAAGCTCCTGAGGGCTCCCAAGCTGGGGATGCTGCTACAGGCAGCAGGCTGTGAACAAGGAGGAGCGATCTGAGTTTGTGGCAGTTCTGGGGACATCCAGGCTTGCATCTGTGACATGGTAATGAGAAAATAAATTTAGAGAAGTACAACGCAGAAGGGAAGGATCTCAAAAACATGTGGTCAAGTTCATTGGTGCCTGGTGCCTTCCTCACCTGTGCTTCATTCTTGCCCTGTGTGACTGTCAGAATGAAAAAGCTTCTCCACAGCTCTGTGTGGCATCTCAGCCATGGTCTTTTTTCCTTTTAGGCTGGCTGTGAATGTCTTTTCTGTGGCAAGTAACAGAGGATGAGAGCAAATAGCTGGAAGGATTTTTTGATGCAAACAACTTCTGTAGGCTCTAGGGGCAAAACAGTTACCTGTGGTGTGTCTGTATGAAATGCTGACACTCTTCTCTTCAATTTTTCAAGTGCCCTGTACAGCATCAGAAGAAGATATGGACAGAAACAATATTGAGCTGAAAGGGTCCAGAGAAACCAAGCTGTATGTCTCATCGGGTGATTATATTGAATTTGACTGTAAAGCAGGATATGTGAAAGAGCAAGAGCCTTCCCACTACAAAGTCCAGTGTGTGGAGGGAGTGTTGGATTACCCACGATGCAGGCTGGGCAGTAAGTCATCTCCTCTTCAGCCACAGATTAGCTGCTGTGGTGTTGCATTTTTAGTGCTGAAAGGGGAGCAAAAAGCCTTTCCCTTTCCTGGGGAAGTGCATGGAGAAGAACCAGAGTGCAGAACCCTGTTGTAAGCTACAGGCAGGGAGGGGCAGCAAGAAGCCATTGGCCAGCATTCCTGAGCTGGAAAGACTGCTGGGGAAAGGGCACAGTGGTTTCACAGCATCAGTTGTCCCGTGTGAGATCTACAGGCAAATAATGAAAGTCCTTTTTTGCAGGGAACTGTACAGTGAGTACAAACCATATGGAAAGCAACAATATTCAACTACAGTCACACCAATCAAGAACTTCCACCTATCGCTCTGGGGATTTTATTTTCCTTGAATGCAAAAGCGGGTACCGACAAGTTTCAAGAGCTGAGAAATTTAGAGCACAGTGCCTGGATGGAGTGATTACATATCCTACATGTCAACGTAAGTGCACAGTGCTGAGGACACAGGGTGGGAGTTGTAGGAGGCAGTTTTGATGAAATTGCCTGACCAGTGCTCTGAGGAGCCTCTGTGGTGCCTGAGGATTGGTATTCATGACTTTCCCCCTTTTTTGTCTTTACACAGAATCGTGGTTTGGATAAATGGAAATGGCATGAAGGAGACCAGCTGCAGAAATAAGAGAGCCCTCAGCCAACCCAGTGATTTGAGCTCAATTTTTCCTGGTGTTTCCCATTTTGCTGTGCTTTGTTTGCAGCTTAGACAATGTTCTGCCTTGGAATTTGTTATATTATTTTTATGATTGGATGATTGTGTTTGTGTATTATCCACATCCAAAAGGCTGTGCTTGCATTGTATCCATTCTATGCTGATCTCACTGTTATTTTTATTAACAATTGTGTCCTGAAATAGGCTGGCTTTGGTGGCATACTGAGACAAGAATTAAAGCTTGTGAGTAATTTGATTCTCAGCACTTGTCTATTCCTCCTTTCTTCTCCATGTGCTTGCCTGGAAACTACCCTGGGGTCACAGCTGAGGTGAGTGTCCTGAGTACCTGATCAGGAGGAGCAAGTAAGTGGAGCCCACAGCTCCATCTGCTCTTCACAAACAAGGACAAAGTGCTTGTGGAAAGCAGCAGCAGCCTTGCTGTGGTAACTGTGTACTAATGGAGTTCATGATTCAGAGGGGAGAGAGGAAAGCAAGTAGAGTACAAATCAGGCCCCCTAGGAGAGCATGAGTTTGACTGTTTTAGGAGACTAGTAGGTGGGATTGCTTGGGAGTCATAGAGAAATCCAGAGAAGCTTAGAGTCTTGAAGGACAGAATCTTACAAGCACAAGAATATTCCAGTTTGGTCTTCAGGAAGAAAAACACATCTACCAGGACTGGCTTGATGAATTTGGGACTTCACATAGATCTCTGAAGCAGAAAAGAAATCGATGTACAGGAGCTTGAGGCAAAAACAAGTGCCGAGCGCCACTTGGCTGGGGGAGCCGCCTCGCCCCCCGAGCTGCCTCCTTTTCTATCACCTGGGGCTTCCTCGGGAGCACTTTGCTGCAGGCCCCGAAATTGGAAAAAAGGGGCTGTTTTACCTTGGGTAGCCTTTGGTGGCCTGTGCACAGCCCCCCGTGTTCCTGCTGGTGGCTCATCTGAGCACAGCCGGGTCTGTCTCTTGCTCACCTTTAGTCGGGCACACCTGGTTCGTGCCAGCTCTTCTGGAATCCCGGGTGCAGTGTAGGAAGCGTTCGGTCACTTTCTGCGCTCAGTCAGTTGGGGGTTGTTGTACAGAACAGGTGGCGCAGGCCCTGTACGAAAACACAGAGAAGTTGGATTCTTCCCATGACTGAGGTTTGTGGGCAATACCTAAAAGTGGGAGACACTCCAGAAAGTACTGTAATTCCGTACATGACTGATGAAGCACATAATGCCAATATGATTTGATTGATAGTGAATTGTCACAGACAGTGAATAATGCTTTTAGATCTGGTCTTAAAGATCTGCTTTTATCTAGACTGTTGCACTAATCACCTCATGCCCCAAGTGTAGTAAATATAAACATTTCTAAATTTTTTGCAGCCTATCTTGATTTGCTTTTGCAGATTAGTGAAACGGGAGCCAAACCTAAAAGAGTTAACTGAGATATCTTGGCCTGCTAAGTAACTCCAGTACCTGTTTTGCTAGAAGAACATTTTAGGAGCGCTGGTTAATATCATGTTCTGTTCTGCTCCCTGGACCAAAGGCCTTATTATAGAAAGGAGTTGTATGCACACGGTAATAAATTAGGTAAACTAGACATTTGAATAAGATATAGAAGGCCCAAAGCCAGGATTTTGCAAGCTTGAAGAATTCAGGCCACCTAATTGAAGAGGTCAAATTGAGGAAAACGTCCATGGCAAGCACCAGCGGGATGAAGGCTTGAGGAGAAGACCCCTACAGTAGAAGACTGCGCACATCAGGAAAGACTCCACCCAGAGACTAGCCTACTTATTAATATGATGTAACCACGTACCCGAAGTGTATAAAATGGCTTAGTTTTGCACTTTCAAGTCAAACAAGTTTGTCCAGCGCAAGCCAGCTTGTTCCCAACATCGAATAGACAAAAACCTTGCTGCTTAAAGATACAGAAGTCTCTGAGAAGTTCTTCATACTGAGGTTTTTCAGCATCATTAGGTCTTCACCTAAACTCTTCAGTTGTAGCACTCCCTTCCTAGAAAGAAGTCATACAGACTCTTAACATGGTGCAGTTTTTTAGATTCAGATTTTGCTGCAGCAGGGGCTAAGTGATAAACAAGAATTTATTTCCTAAATGTGGTTTAAATACCACATATTTAATAAGGGGCATGCATGGATTGAAGAGAAAACCTTCTATTTTCTGTTCAGTTGGATTTCTGTGTAGAAAGTAAAGCTAGTTAAAAGTTGATGTGGCACATACAGTATCAGCTTAAGTATGCCAGCCTGGAGTGTATCACATTGTTATGTACCCTGCTGAGAATCCAGCTCTGGGCTTCCTGCTGTGAGGCAAAGATTTCTGTAGGTCACCAACAGTTAGTCCAATGCAGGACTGGGATTATCACTGCTGTTGTTACAGTCAATGCATCTTCCCTTGTTCTTTAGCACAGAGCTCTTAAGCATAGCTGCTGCAAGATTTTGCACAGGTACAGAAGCATATGAATACCTATGGTAATGTGGTAAGATTGGTGCAGAGGGACAAGTGGGACTGTCCTGGTGTTGTCAGAGCACGTCTGTCTGCAGCAGCAGCACAGGCTTCAGTGCCACAGAACAAAAGGAACTATAGATTTGGGCAGTGAATTTCTGTGAGGAGCTGTTTTCTTGGAGCTTGACTTAGGTGCAAAAAATATCTTTTCAGTGGTCAGGTATTCACCAGGAACTGCAAAATGGATGCAGATCGATCATCACAGGGTCATGGAGCGGGGTGAGAGTTCATTTTCCACATATGAGTCATTTGTCTAGGAAAGGGGAAGGAAGAGATATTATGCTGCCTAAAGAGTTCTTGTGGGTGAAACAGCTGAATGCCAGTTTTCAGCAAGACCAAGTTCTTAGAAACACAGCCCAAGTTAAAAAAATAATTCCAGCTGCCTTTTAAGAAGACAAGAAGTTTTAACTGCTTTAAATGCTTTGGAATTCAGGTTTGATTTGAGATCTGCTCTGTAGACACACTACATTTATCCTAGAGCAGTACACCAACCAAGCCAGTAATTTTAAGGATATGTTGTGTGTTTCTTTGGGAGCATATACAAGACAGATCTGTGTATACTCCATGCCAGTCAGACATCACCACTGTGGGGTACCTGGTCTGCAGCTGTTTTATGTCCATCTCATATGGGCACTTCTGTTACTTATTTTTCCCTGAATTCTCAGTCTCAATTCTCTTCATATGATCAACATTTCCAATGGAGTGCACTTATAAAACCAAGACATATCATGAAACTATTAATAAGACTGTTGCTTACATGAACCTGTGACAAGTTCCTCTGTTAGCCCAGTTTGCCATATACTTCTTTCTGCATAATCTTTGTATTTCTCTTTGGAAAGTTCATTCTCTATCTTGCAATTTATTCACATCTTCTCCATCTTATTTCTCATGTGAAACTGAAACAAGTGCTTCAGCTTCACCTAAGTTTATTTAATCAAGAATTTGATCAAGTATATTTCCTTTGCTCTGGGCAGTTGGTTATTTTATATAAGAAAGAGTGAGTGACCAGTAAGCCACTTTATATTTTTGTCTGCCTTTTATTTTGATTGTTTTTAACATAGATCTTGAATTATATGTGCAGAGAAGCTCATTTTTACACACAGTTAACATCACTTTGTTTTCTAACTACAAACAAAGAACACACAAAGAACCTCAAAATAATTTCTTTGTACAACTGCTTTTAGATACCAAAAAATTAACCTTATATGAGTATGTAGGGGATAAATCTGAAGGAAAAAAAAGAGAAAAAGAAAAAAATATGATGAAAAAAACAAGCAGATCACAAGAAAGTAACGTGTCAGCCTAAATTGCCAGGCTTTTATTAATTTGTTTATCAAGGTTCAGAGAGGGGAGGAAAAAAAAAATGAAATACTTGTATGTTGCAAGAGGTTTAGGGGAAGTGACTGCTGAAATCAGAGTATAAATGGTTTGCAAGGTCAGTCTCTGGAGCAGTTACTGAGCAAAACAGGAGTGGAAATAACACAGAGTACTCAAAATAAGTAGGGTCCAATACTGAATGTGTTTGGATGAGTTTCTGAATCTCTAGAATGTTGTTCCTGGGCTATGCAGCTCTGCTCTTGTGTTGGACGTGTTGTACTGCACAAAGAGGTAAGCTTTAATGTGGAAAAAAATCAGAGCTCTTTCTTAAAGTGTATGTGAAAATGGTATTTAAAACAATATGCAGAGGCATTGTAGCCTTTCTAATGAACTTCTGACAACAGTGACTGAGATTTCTTCTGGCAGTGTTTAACACCTTTAGTATTTCATATCTTATCATAGGTATTACTTCACCTATTTATTTGGATAACTACTGCTGTTATTAATCTGATGCTCAAATTTTAAACATTCGTATCACTATAAACTAGAGCCAGATGACTAATTTTTTTAAATTATGTTTGTTAATTATTCTAACTTCTAAAGCGAGTAAACAATTAGTAGAATAAGATAGAAAATATTCCATAAATGTGCATTTATTTCTGTCTGGAATAATCTGTGAGATGATGTAAGAAAGAGAAATCATTACTAAATTGACTGAAAAGCTTATAAAATATCTCTTGACTGATAGACTGTTTTTAGTCTATGAAATGAGATAGATGTATACAAGTATGCTTTTGTACATGTTTGGATAGGTAGCTAGGATACTGTGTATCTTTTCACAAGCCTCTGATGGTTTTTGTTTCTCTACCGAATTTACTTTTCTTTTTTTGTGTTTATATTGCTTAATCTATCCTCAGTAATTTAATTTTTCTTTTTGCTTTGCACACACTGTTGAGGAAAGGGTGCTGTGTGGTTTTGAGCTAGTGTGTCTTTGCTTGGTTCAAACTGGTTTTAATTTTGGGTGAAGACTATGAAGACCTTATTAATCAAAACAAACCAATAGGTTTTACTTTGAAAAATTGAAAAAAATCAAGAAATTAAAGGAATAGCTTACCTTAATTAAATATTCTTATAATAAATACTGCCTCAAACCAACTAATAAAGTCTAATTTGTTTGCAAAGAAGTCCAGAAAAGTCCTGGAACTTGAACTAAAAATTTGCCTTAATTTGCACTATGTTTTCACAATGCTTTATTTAGGCCAGGGAGATTGCAAAACAATGTGAATGTAGCAAAATTTGATTTATCCAGGACAATTATTACTATGGGTCATGCAGGATTCTTAGTTCCAACTCCATATTGGAAGTCTGTGTGAGTTGTTCCAAGAGCTGAATTTTTGCACAAGGACGGAAAAACACTTCTACTTGGATTTGTAGCTTGTGC